CCAGGAAAAGTATCAGCTGAGTCTGAGAGAAGTGACTTTGGTAGAAGAGAAATTGCAAGATGCACATGTGGATGGTCTGGATCCAGAGACTGATTGTGTCCTGGTTACTTCACCTTCTGCATTCCCACACAGGCATTTTAATGCAGAGAGAAGATAATATCTTAGAATGGATATTTTTAGCACACGAACAGAGTAAACAATTAAAGATCTATGTATAAAAGATTTCTGAATTTATTCTAAAAGAAAAATTGATACTTTGTCAAATTAGCAGGAATAGACCCAGGAGAAATTCTAGTACCTTTTACTAATGCTGAAATTTCCTCACTATGGGCAGAAAATTAATATTGGCAAAAAGCTTGCAGTAATTTTTTGGGAGATATTAACAACAAATACCCCAAAAACAAGAGAATTCAATTAACAAAGAAAACTATCTAGAACTTTAATCACATTGTTGAGGGAACAACAATTCCCGGAGCCCCTACATTCTATACTGATGAAAAAAATCAGGAAAAGCACATTATAAATCAGGTAATTTAAGTAAAGTTGCTCAAACCCCTTATGATTCTTTTCAAAAGTCAGAATTATATGCTATTCTCATGGTGTCATTAGATTTTCTAGAAACTCATAGTATATTTACTGACTCTCAGTATGCTGAATCATTTTATTTATTTAAATTGCTGAATTTATTCCAGATGAATCAGAATTGACTTTTTCATTTGGTGAATCACAAGAAATAATAAAAAATATAAACCATCCCTTATATTTAACACCTATCAGATCCCATACAGGTCTACCAGGCACTCTAGAAAAAGGTAATAATTAAATTTATCAACTATTGGTAGGAAGTATCCTAGACGCCTCAGAATTTCATATGAAACAACATGTTAATGTCAGGGTTTGCAAAAGGATTTTCCTATCACTTGGCAACAAGCCAAGAAAATTATAAGGAATTATCCTACTAGTTCTTTGTATAACCAAATTCCACTACCTGTGGGAAGTAATCCAAAGAGTACTCAAAGGAATGAAATGTGGCAGATGGATGTGCTTCACTTTGCAAAATTTGGAAAATTCGAATATGTACACCATACAATAGATGCATATTCAGGATTTTAATGGGTAACTAATTTGAGTTCTGAAAAGGCTGATTCTGTAAGGACATATTTAGTAAATGTTTTTGCATATTACAACATAAAGCATACCATACAATCCTACAGGGCGAGCAGTTATAGAAAGATGTAACCTAACCCTAAAAGGCATGCTTATAAACAGAAAGGGGTAATAAAAACCCCCAGAGACAAATTGCACAATACTTTATTAAGTTTAAATTTTCTGAATGCTAATGAGAAATGATTGATTGCTGTGGAGAAACATTGGATAGTAGAAAATAACTGCTGAGCTAAATCAGCCTGTATACTTTAAAGATGTGTTGACCTCAGAATGGAAACCAGGATTTGTGTTACATTGGGGAAGGGGTTTTGCTTTTGTTTCCACAGAAGAAGAAATTGACAAAGATTGGATTTAGAACAAGAGAGCCCTCTTGATTAGTTGAGGTGATAGTTCATCAAACCATTCTATCTAAACTAACTTATAAGATTAATAAATGCTTTTCATTTGATCAGATATAATTTGCCAAAAGAGAAACTGCCCAAAGTTAGGACTGGGGCAGGGTTTTGTCTTGTCTTTCCAGGGGAAGTAAGACATCCTGCTAAGGAATCTGAAGACAACTGGTCAAATGAGACATCTGAAGAAAAGGATGAATCATCGACAGAAAATGTCCCAAGAAAAAGAATAAATTGGCTTAATGGTATATCATACGTCCAACAGGATAAGATTTCATAAATTTTCCCAAATGCTTGTTTTTGCTGTTCTCTACAAACACATAATACAGATGATCTTTTTATAGTCACAGTTCAATTAAAAATTAAAGCTGGCTTTGGAGTTGGAGTGTGACTCTCTCTTTCTCTTAACCAAAGGATACTTGTTAAAAGGAAAATCCAAAATCTGTCTCATATCAGAAGAGCTATGTGATATGGGACAGGAAAAAATCCAAAATTAAGGGACTCTTCTATTGACAATAATCTCAAAATTCTTTGGTTTTATTTTGACTCTTTAAATCTTTCTTTTCTTTTTTTTTTTAGAGAAATGTTGTTTAATGGTAAAGCTTAGCACACTCCAGCGCCAGGACTGGCATGAAGTTGAAGCAGCAGGGATGGCTGTCTGACACCATGGAGTCTCACATAGCGAAGAGGATAAGGAAGGCAACCATCAAACAGAAGAGGCCCATGGCCTCAGACAGGACAAATCCCAGAATCACATAGGAGAAGAGCTGTTGCTTGAGAGACGGGTTCCTGGCATAGTCAAAAATCAAGCTACCAAACACTGTTCCAATGACAGCCCCTGATTCAGTCACACCAACTATGGCAGCCCCAGCACCAAAAAACTTGGCAGCTGTGTCAATGTCCTGGGAGACAACACTGGTCTGGAATTCCCATCTGGCCACCTGGAGAGAGGAACTGCTGGGGGAAGGCTGTTTAGATGTGGCCTCTGGTCTACTCAAGAGGGAGGCAGACACAGAACTGATTAGACCCCTGGTACACGAGCAGATCAGAACTGGAGTAACGAGCAGTGCCTTGGTGGTCTGCATTTTTCAATCTCCCAGCTTCAGCCCTTGGTCTCAGCTAAATCTTTTCTTAAGGTATAAATATTATCTCATATATATATATGTGTGTGTGTGTGTATGTGTGTGTGTGTGTGTGTGTGTGTGTGTTTTAAACTTTTTGTCATGGTATTAATGGTAATATAAATTATTAGTTAATTCTAGAAAAAGGCTTCATCTAGCTTCTTGTATATGATTTCAGGTTTGAGTCTCTGTCATGTAGCTTGGAATTAAGTTTTTGTACCCTGGATGCACATAACAAATTATAGTCCTTTAACCTCTTCAAGATCAGCTGCACATGACATTTCAAGTGATTAAGTTTTCTGCAGTGAACCATGACCATGCCTAACATTGACCTTTGAAGTTTTCAAAAGGAGGATGGGGCCCCACAATGATGATTCCACTTGGATTGCAGTAATGCCACTAAGCTGACAAACATCACCCAAAGATCAGTTTTTGACTACAAACTGCTCAGGACAATTTCAAAGTAGCTAGTAAAAGATGTTTTAATAAGTAAGATTCTTTTCCTTATGACAATCACATATGTATGCTCTTGGCAGCACCAATCTACTTCAAACAAGATTATGGGCACTGAAGAAACTCCATATGAACCTTACTTTTTGTGGCAAAAATTAGTCATTTGGCAAAAAACTGCTCTTGCCTTGACTGCTGACAGTTGCTGTCTAATTTGAATAAGCAGGACCCAAAAGAAAGTGACTGCTGAATTTTGCCGAGACAAGGCAGAACAGCCCTTCAAAATCCTGCTTCACAGAAAGATCTGACAGATATTCCAGGCCTGTAAGTAGAATATAGATGCCCAACATTACAGAGGAACCTGAGGTGACTGTCCAGGTAGCCAGCTGTTTCTGTCATTTCTATCGTTTTAAAAGTTGTTTGCTCTGTACTTCCTGTTTACTTAAGCAATATTATTTCCTTCTTGGGTCTCTCAGAGAGTTGAAGACTGGATAGTTATAGTTTTCCTTGTTATAAAATTCAGAAAAGAAACTCACAAAAGTGGTGTAAAGTATATAACATTGAGAGACATAAAAAGATAGTTTTAGGTTGGTAAATAAAGTTAGGGTAGAAATAGAATTAGATACAACACTTCAGATTCACCAAGACAGAACAGATAATGGAGTATTTTCTCTTAAATTTGTCAAATTAAAATAGACTAGACATTGGTATTGCAATTATTGCCCATATATATTTTATACACTTACTGTACTTATTGTATATACTTTTACTATGTTTAAGACAAAAAGGGGGAAATGCTGTGTGATATTTTGATTCTGTTCTGACAAATAAAGCTTGCTTGGAGTCAGAACCACTAGCTGACCAAAACTAACTGTAGAGGTTTGGAGGACTGCAGACGGAGAGGAGACAGGAAGTAGTAAGGAGGGGCGGGGAAAAGATCTCACCCAGTTCCTTTATGGTCAGAGGAACAGAAGAGGAAGGAAGTGACTATGGCTGCTCCCCTGCTTCTCTGTCTTTCAGGTTTTTACCTTGATACCTGACTCCCAATTTTTATTGATTAGATTAACATTTCACATAAGTGAAATTAAATACTTTGCCTTGGCCATAGTGTTTTAACATAGCAATACAAAAGTAACTAAGGAAATTAATTCAGCCTAGAGCCCAGGATGTTACTAGGGCCATTCCCCCACCCCTTTCTTTGGATTCCAGTGGGTTTGGGATGGAGAGTTCTGGGTTACTAGCATTTTCTTTTACAGCTGTCAGTACATTATTTTAAAAATTAAATATATGGCAATTTCAGAGAAATTTTAATTAAGGAAAAAGACACTTGAAGAAAATTGAAAAGCACCCATTTGACATCCAAATGACCTATTAACCTTTTACTCATATAGAAGTACAATAGCTTATTAAAAAGAAAACAACTACATTTCTTTATTCTTATGTAATATGTCCTGACCACAGCTTTCCCTCCTAGTTCCCAGTGCCGCCAACTCCCCTTTCCTCCAGATCCATTCCTCCAGCCTGTCTCCCCCAGGAAAGAACAGGCCTCCTAGGACAACAACCAAATGCAGGACATCAAGTTACAGTCACAAACACATCAAATCTGGGTGAGGGAACCCAGTAGGAGGAAAGGGGTTCCCAAGAGCAGGCAAAAGAGTCAGAGATATTCCCACTCCCACTGTCAGGAGTCCCACAAAAACACCAAACCACCCATTTTAATATATATTATGCACAGGACCTAGCGCAGACCTATGTAGGCTCCATAATTATTTCTTCACTCTCTGTGAGACCCCATGAGCCTTACTTCAAACAACTATGCTTTTTGAAATTATATCCAAAGAAACTAAAACCATCTCAGACTTTCACATACCCATGTTTTCCTTTGACAAGGCTTCATCAGAGCACACATTTTCAACAGAATATTTTAAATCGGCATTCCTGAAAAAGATTTTGACAGATTCAGTTTAAACAAGTGACCCCACACATAAGGATATTCATGCAAGCTCATGTGCACATACACATACATATACATTTTACTGCACATATAGAAATGCACAGTTCGTGGTAACTGTCCTGTGACTGTATAGGTCTCAATCTTTGGGTGTTTGTTCTTGGTTGTCTCACACAGCACTATTCAGTGCAGAAGGCAGGGCTGTAGCACTCTCAGTAGCTACAAAGCACTGAGAAGCTAATCCAGTGAGCACTCACTCAGGTTCTTCATCTAATTATCTTCCAAAAATATAGTAAGTCATTACTGTTGTCATTATGTAAAGAAGTGAGGAACTGGAGCTGCAAGAGGAAATGAGAGCTCTGGTGCCACAGGTAAATCACTACCATGACAGAACCGGCTCTGTCAGATGGCAAAGCCATACTTCCCCATCACACTGTGCTCCTGATGAGACAGAAAACATCTGTGCCAATGCACTGTTAACAATCAAAAGCTCCCATGAGTCAGTTCTTTAAGTCATGACTCTTCAAGTCATTTCTTAGACGGGAATAACTGTAAACACCCAATGTGTGTGATGTGACTGAGATAAGGCAATCAAAGTCCTAACTAATTTTTAGGAATTAGTTATCTATTCAGGAAGTGTTGGTGCATGCCTATAATCCTAGCACTTGGGAGGCAGAGGCAGGCACATCTTTGTGAGTTCGAGGTCAGCCTGGTTTACAGAACTAATTCCAGGACATCCAGGGCTACATAGAGAAACCCTGTCTTAAAAACAAAACAAAACAAACACCACCAGAATTAGCTATCTAGTGGGTGGAGATACTTTCGCAGAGGAATGACAACCTGAGTCCATTACTGAGCTTCTCTAAGGTGGCAGGACTGATTCTTAAAACTTGTCCTCTGACCTCCACACATGCACTACAAATGCACATGCCCCACATACAAAATCAATATTAAACAAAATGAAATAAATGAATACATAATTTCAAAGTGGCTTTCTTCTGCAAAGACATGCAAGAGGAGGACTGACAGTGCCCACCTCTGTTGGTGAGTGGGAAGCCTAGTACAGCCCTGGTCACACACTGAAAATCACATGCTAAGGCTAGTTCAATCAGAATCATTGAGACTTCTCATCATTGGCTTATCACTTTATAATGGAGATCTGATGCTGGCTTGTCTTACCTATTTAAAGCTGAAAGCAATTTATACATGGGTGCTCACATGATAGTAATCTTTAAAAGTTCTGGTTTAACATTTTTATAGAACTATAACACTTCTTCAGCCAAGTATGGTGGCTGCAAACCCAGCACCTGAGAGGCTGAGGTAGGAGGGCTATAAGCTTGAGAGTAGCCTAGGCTACACAGTGAAATGCTTTTGGAAAACAGACCAAGTAAAACAAAGCATAACTTTCCCTGCACTTCTAAATACTAACTTACTAATTATTTCAGAAAGGTTTAAGCACAGTGAAGAAAAAATCAGGAAAACATGTCAAACAAAAATTAAATACCATTTATACATCTCAATTGTATCCTAATACTTTAATTACACAAAACATACCTTTTCCTCTTTCTAACCTTGGGCTTTTTCTTTTCAGTATTATTTTTGGAAACTTGCATCTATAAAGAAACATCAAAAATAAATTAGTTTATATTGTTCCAGCTCTGCTCAATACACTAAAAAGGGTTTATGTGGTATAATAATTGAGCTGAAGAGAATCGTTGGCCCATGCTCCCAATCAAGACCTTTCTGTCTAACCTTCTGCATAGTCTCTGTAAAGGCATCAGTCTGTCAGGCTCCAGGAATAGTGGAATAGCCAGATATGGAGCTACTGTTTTAAATATTTTCAAATGCACCTTCACAAAACCATAAAAATGGTAAAATTTTAAGCAATTTTTACAAGCACCTAGCTTTGAGGAAGGCAGAAGCACATAGAATGCAAAGGGGCATGGGTTGGAGCTGACACAGTGGAGGCCCCTAACAATCTGCAGCAGGGCACCACCAGAGAACACAGCGGGCTTTTGATGGTTAATCAAAGACAAATTCTGTGCTTTGTTGTGTCATGGGCAGACAAGGCCTGGAAACAACAGAATTTTTCTGACTATAAACAGAGCACAAAAGCCTGCCGGATTAGATGGCAATGGCAGCAATCCTGGGGAGGCGGGTGGGGGACAGCTATACCAGTGAAGTGAAAATCCAAAATTATGTCTCTGAGACTATTAGGGTTTCCAAATCAAATATCAACACAAAGATTCTCCCAGGATTCCTAACTAGGAGAAGATAGAAACACGAAAGCCAAACAATTAATATAAAGACTCACACAGCATCTCACATACCACATTCACTTGTCAAGAATGACCAAAATTAAGGCACATGCAGAAAAGCAAACTCTGTAAAACAATGTTTTCAGTTATAGTTCAGTTGACATGAAGTTCAAAAGCAAGCAAAACAAATACATAGTCTTAGAGATAAAGACAGTGTCTGCTCTTGGAACTCTTGGATGATCAGCAGCAATAGAAGCCTTACCAACAGCAGTGCCAAGAAAATATTATCAATTAAATCTCACTCCAAACAAGTGTGACCTAAGCTGGAAGCTGGGTCTGTGTTGGCTGCAACTACAGAGACAGTTCAGCAGAGGAACCTTTGGAATTGTTTGCTTGTATCAGTTGTTGATTTCCCCGATTATCAGAAAACCATTAAATCTTTCCAAATAAAAGAGAATTTAAGAAATACAATATTTCTGAAAGAGCCACTAAAAGATATACTTCAGAGAAGATTTAACCTAAAAGAAAAACCAAAAATGAGTGAAGATAAACAAATTACTAAACATGATCTACATCTAAATAAACTCAAGACCCATGTAGGCTCAATCCATACAGATGCCAATATGGAGAGGGGGAAGGGGAAGTGGGCAAGAAGTCCCCCTTCTATAAGAAGAGCTACTGGCAATCAGTGGAAGGTCACACATCCAAGTATATATGCACAGTACCAACTTGATGGGCTTAAAAAATCCCACAGTGACAAAAAAGAGAACAAAAAAATTACATGGGCAGATAAGAAAGAGTCAGTATGGGAGGAGTTGGAGAAGGGATATATGATCAAAATACATCTTACAGAATTCTCAAAGTGCTAATAAAAGAGTATAAAATAAATAAATTTACCGGGACCCCTCTTCTCACCAAAACCTAACTGAGGCTGGGCATAGAGCTCAAAACTAGATCTTTTATATAGAAAAAATGAGACCTGGCTGGGATTCCTAGCACTGAGAAAGATTTTAAAAGAAAAAAACAAGACTAATTTGTAAAGAAGTGAAAAACAAGGAATATTCATAATCTAAGATAATAAATGGGAGAGGGAAAGGAATCAGACCAGGGTGGGAAGTAAATAAATGATATTGAGTTATTCACAAAGAGATGCAATTAGGATATTTATAGCCAATAGAAGAATTTAAAAAATAATGATACAAAAGTTCCAGAAAAGTAATCAAAGATTAATATGTTCACACATATGGATAACACTCCAAAGAAGAGGACAGCATTGTATAACTTCTAGGTTTGTTGGAAGAAAAAGAAGGAGTTTTAAAAAAATACAATCTGATAGAACCTAGGAAGGGTGGTCGAGAGGAAAAAGAGAAAAAAGCACTGTAAACAGAAAACATAAATTAGATCTTGTCCAGATATATTTATAATATGAAGTAATACAAAGAGATTCAAACTTTTAGACTGGTTCAAAACAAATCCAGTATAATTTGAGCTAAAGAGCTCTAAGATATAACAGCATGGCCATCAAAATAAATAATACTTTTTGTACACAAATCAATAATCAAAACTTCAAATGAAAATGTGAGGGGTATAAAACAACCTTGTAAAAGAAGAACCAATTTGGTCATGCTTTCTTATGACAAGTTCCCAGGACTCAGAACAATATGGTTTCAGCAGCAGAACAGAAGACACAGAGCCAGTGGAATGTAGTTAGGAGTTCAGAAGTAAATTCTTATATTAGTAGTCAACTCGTTTTCAGCAATTAGGCCAATGAGTAAGCAATAAAAATGCTCACATCATACATAAAAATTAATTTTAAATGGATTCAATGTTTAAATGCAAGAGATTCACTTTTAAAACTCTTGGAAGAAAACACAGAAGTAAATCTTTGTAAGTTTTGTGTCTTCACTATTGTTTATGGTTGTGATAACACCAGGACCCAGGCAACTTATAAAAGAAAGCATTTAATTGGAGGCTTGCTTACAGTTTCAGAGGGTTAGAGTCCATGACCATCATGGCAGGAAACATGGCAGCAAACAGTTGGGCACGGTGCTGGAGCAGTAGCTGAGAGATCACATCTGATCCACAAGCACAAGGAAGAAAGATAACAAACTGGGAATGGCTTAGGCTTTTGAAACCTCAAACTCCTCTCTCCAGCAACATGCCATCTCCAACAAGGCCACACCTCCTAATCCTTCCCAAACAGTCCCATTAACTAGGGACCAAGTGATCAAACATATGAGCTATGGGGGCTATTCTTATTCAAATCACCTACTGAGTTTAGTCGATGGAGTCTTATATGTAACATTAAAAATATAAACAACAAAAGAAAGAATAAATTGGATGCTATCAAGGTTAATGACTTCTGTGGTTTTAAAATACACCACCAAGAAAGAGAAGACAATTCATAAGATTAGAGACTATATTTTCAAAATTACGTATATAATAATCAAATAAGAAGAAGACAAGTCAATTAAATGTGTACAAAATTTGAATGAACATTTCTTTAAGGTAATACAGGAATGGCCAATAAGTACATGAAGAGCTGGTTAATAACATTAGTTACCAGAGACATTAAAACTAAAATCACAATGAAATACCATTTCATGTTCAGTGGGATAGCTTGAAAGAAAGACCTATCCAAATGTTGACAAGTGTACAGTGAAAGTTGGAAAACTAGCAGACTATGATTGTGAAGGTGCACAGCACCTGTTGAATAGTTTGAAAATTTCTCAAAACTTTATGAGTAAAGTTACCCTGTAACCTAGCAGCTCTACTCAAGAAAAATAAAGGCACGTATCTACATAAGAACTTATATATAATGTTTCCAGCACCATTATTCACAATGAAGTAGAAACAATACAGATGTCTATCAACAGATGAGAAAAGTGTGATTTGCTAGTGCTTTTCTTTATTCATGACTTTGTTTCCTGAAGTTTCATGGTAACTGGTCTGAAACTATTATATGGAAATTCTTAGAAGTAACTTATTAATCAGCATAATTTTTATTACATCAGGTTGCTTTAATTTTTCTATCTTATTTATGTTCTTACTCATTTCTTCTGAGGCAAATTTATAAATTAAATTTTATCATAGGTATAAAAAGGGAAAAAGCTTGAGGCTTTTACTAGGGTCTCAGAATATATTCCTAATAAATAAGGGATGAGGGAGACTACTATATATCCATATAACAGAATATTATCCAGCCACTGAAAATAATAAAGTAAAAATACCATGTGATTAAATTTCAAACTATTATGCTAAGTGAAAAGTGAAAAGCCAGACAAGATAGCTGTAAGATTGTGTGCCAACTTTTATCTGAAATGTTCAGAGATGGAAAATCCAGAGACAAAAAGTTGGGAAGTGACAAAAGGTAGAATATGGACAGACTGCTAATGTAAAATGGGACTTTAGTGATAAAAAACTAGTCTAAAATTACATAGCAGTATTGATTATACAACTTTGAATATATGAAAACCATTGAATATACACTTGTAAATAGCAGCTTGTATGGCACATAAAATTTAACAAATATATAACTACAAAATTCATGACATGGAAAAGTTGAAAGAAGCTAGAAATGTGGTGATATTTTCTTTGTGCTATAACAAATAAAGCCTGCCTGAAGATCAGGGTGTGGAGCTGGCACTAGTTAGCCATAGAGGCAGGCAGTGGTGGCACACACCTTTAATCCCATCACTCAGGAGGTAGAGGCAGATGGATCTCTGTGAGTTCAAGGCTGGGCTACATGAAGTTGATCCAGTCTAAAAGAGAAACAGAACCAGGCAGTGGCGGCTGACACCTTTAATCCAGGTACATTGGAGTCACAAGTCTTTAATCCCAGCACTAGGGAGGGATATGGCTGAGCAGAGAGGGTTGGAGTCACAAGTCTTTAATCTCAGCACTAGGGAGGTGGAAACAGGAGTGATATGGCTGAGAAGAGAGAGGAATATAAAGCAAGAGGAGAAAGGAGCTCATTGCATTCAGTCTGATGATTCGTAGTCAGGATCACCCTTTCGGTCTGAGGTAGAGGTAAGAACTAGCATCTCTGCTTCTACCTACCATCTTTCAGATTTCACTCATGATACTGACTCTGGGTTTTTATTGTGTAAAACAAATTAGAATTTGTGCTATATAGAGCACAATATAATCATCATTATTAATATTGCCAAATTTAGTGATATCAATACTAGGACAAAAGTAGATGTGAATTCAAAAAGCATAATTTAAGGAGAAAGTTTATGACTCAGTGTTAAAAGATAATCTCATTAAAATCTTAGCTTCAAAATACACAAAGTAAAATAATACAAAATTAAGTATGATTTAAATTGTTCTAAAAATAGAATGTGAGTATGGTA